GATTGGTGCGGGGACTCACTGCAACCATCTGCCACTCACGAAAAAGAGAGGGGAGCGCAGTGGAGGGGGTGACCTGTGGGGAGAGCGTAAATAGGCGGATTTTTGGCGCAGAACATCATTCGCTTTGTATTCTTCGTTGTGTTTACTTCGTTAACCTAAAACTAAATCAAAAATGTCAGGACGTGGCAAAGGTGGCAAAACCAAGGGAAAGTCAAAGACTCGCTCCAACCGGGCCGGACTCCAGTTCCCAGTCGGTCGTATCCATCGTCTTTTGCGCAAAGGAAACTACGCCGAGCGAGTTGGTGCTGGTGCACCAGTTTACCTAGCCGCAGTAATGGAATACTTGGCTGCCGAAGTTTTGGAGTTGGCCGGAAACGCAGCTCGTGACAACAAGAAGTCGAGAATCATCCCCCGTCACCTTCAACTCGCCATCAGAAATGACGAAGAATTGAACAAGCTTCTTTCTGGAGTCACCATCGCTCAGGGTGGTGTTCTCCCAAACATCCAAGCTGTTCTTTTGCCCAAGAAAACCGAAAAAAAAGCTTAAATTTTCCATACTCACCCTCACAAAACAATCGGCCCTTTTCAGGGCCAACAAATATTTTTTACGTTTGAATACTATGTTCTTTACATTTATATTAAAAATCAGAACCAAAATTTTTTTTATATAGCATTAAAGGTATGTAATTGTTAAAATAAGGATTATACAAATGACAAAATTTACAGTTCAATAGAGTAGTAATAAATAAAGATAATAAAACTATTAATAATTTTATGCAGTAGTCAGTATATTATGGATAGAATCTTTATAAAGTGTCTAACGCTTTCTTTGAGAACTTCGCAATTTGATGCATAAAAATAAACATCATTTTATTTATTCATCTCTAAATCAAATATAATTTTCGGGAAGTTCTTCGAGAATTCAATTTATTATTTGAATAGAAAAATTCAATTTTTTATAACAATTGAGGAGCTAGATCGAAGAACCGGGTTTCCCAAATTCGGAAACCAATATTATGCCGAATACGAATAAATCTCAAATTTGGAAAATTCCAATCTAAACCACACAGTGATGGGTAACATCAAACTCAAAACACATTACAAGTTATTATGAATTACCTTAGTTCCATAAATTAAAAACTAACATCTTCACGTACATTTTATTTATTCCTGGAACATATTATTTAAATCAGGGACCGACACGGACACGAAAATTCGTGTCGTGTCGGTGTCGTGCCTTGACACGACACATGAAATTTGTAATTCGTGTCGTGTCAAAACACGTTTTAAGAACACGTTTGAAACACTGTAGAATCTTGCAAGCGTTTTATTTACAACTTTGCCCAAGGACACTAAAGAATAAAAATATTTGACCCTATCTCAGTTGAGTTGATTTGGCTATTATTATATTATATATTATTTTTTAATAACAATTAAATTAATTAAATTATTTTATATCTTCAATAAACATATTTTTTTCAACATTCCTGCAAATAAAAGAAATTTCATGACCTTTTCCTAACCATTAGATAAAAAAGATTTTGAAACTTTTTTATAACCAGGGTGGTCACAAGTTTCAGTTTATCAATTTTCCTGACAATTTACTGAAATTAAAATTCTTTTCCCCGACAAAATTAGTTTTACAAGAAAATATGAAAGTATATGGAAAATGATTATATTTTATGAATTTTAATTATTTACAACAATTTCAATTATAACCTACCTGAATTCAATTATTTTCTACAATTTTCAACTAAAATTATAATAAAAGAATTCCGAGAATTAGTTTTTAAAAATATATTGTCATATTGGCTAATTCTAATATATTATGTTTGAGACAAAGAAAATTCTTTCGTAAAAAGTAATTGGTGGCCCTGAAAAGGGCCGTTTGTTTTCAATCATCCACTATCAATTTCTTTTCACTTTACTTCTTGGAAACCCTCTTTGCCGCGGGCTTCTTCGCTTTGGGCGCTGCAGCCTTCTTGGGCGAAGCTTTGGCCGCCTTCTTGGGAGCAGCCTTGGTCACCTTGGGTTTGGCGGTGGTGGACTTGGCCTTCGGTGGCTTGGCCGCAACCTTCGGGGTCTTCTTCTTCTCGGCGACGGCTTTCTTGGTCTTGGCTGCCACGGCCTTCTTCGGAGAAGCTGCTTTCTTGGCCTTTGGTGCTGCAGCAGCTTTGGGTTTGGCGGCAGTCTTGGTCTTGGGCTTGGCTTTGGCCTTGCCCTCGGCCTTGGCGACGTTCAACTTGAAGGACCCTGCAGCGCCCTTGCCCTTGGTCTGGATCAGAGCCTTGCTGGCGACTGCAGCCTTCAGGTACTTTCTGATGAAGGGAGCCTGCTTCTCGACGTCGACTTTGTAGGTGGCGGCGATGTACTTCTTGATGGCTTGGAGCGAAGAGCCGCCTCTCTCCTTCAAAGTGGCGATGGCCGCGTTCACCATCTCCGACGCTGGCGGGTGACTGGCCTTGGCGCGGGGCTTCTGCGCCTTGGCTGCTTTCTTCGGAGTTGCCACTGCAGGTACAGCTGGGGATTCTACTTTGTCTGCCATTTTACTAAAGTGGTTTTCGAAAAACTACAAAAAATGTTCAATAACTTGGAGATGCTTTCAACTCAAGCGTTCAAACAGTTATAAACACATTTCCCTGCGCTCGTCGACATAGTAAAACGCACGGACGGTGAAGAAAGACCCCAGCGCTCGTTGGCTTTCTCTCGTTTGAATTCTCGGTAACTTGGGTACACTATTCAAAATTTTGTTCAATTTTTTGATATTTATTTGTTCTTCCCCAGTCGCAAATATATTAAATTTCAATTATACAATTATTCTACTTTTTTAATATTAAGAAAAACATAACACTTGCATTGTGTTTTTCGGTAAAAATGAGCAATTTTCAAGACTCTGCTTTTAGTGATCATTCTCAACAAGTTCAGAAAATTATAAAAAAACAAGTAAACAAATTGGATTGTTTAAAAATTAACCTTCAAATTTAATGCTCTATTTATCTCCCTTTCTGAAAAGAAAACTTATTTTACTTTGAGTGATAAATTGATGGAGGTACGATTGCTTCAGTTTGGGTATGAGTTCTTACTTTCAGCACAGAATACAAACGCGCATAGAGTGCATTGACTAGATCAATTATAAAAAATTTTTAACAATTTTTCAACATAATTTATATATAATTTAAAAAATGCTTAGAATTTTTTACTGAGTCATAGAAATTTACTTTGAATGAATTATTTAAAAACAGCCAAATGTATGATTGAGCATTATCTTTTTCTCATTCTCTCTGGTATACCTGTATTTTTCTTTATAAAAAAAAATTATTTTAAACAAATTTTAATACGATTTACAATTAAAAACAAATATGTCTCTTACATTTACTATTTGAATGATTAATAATTCTATAAAATTGGAAAAGAATAAAATTTATATTAAAAATAATGATGACGACGGACAAGTAATGTTTCAACCAATATGAATATACGTTTAGGATTGTTATTACATTTTCTAACATCATCTATGATGTACAATTTACTTACATCATAAGAATTTAAGATGTAAATATTTACTTAAAAATTTGTTAAAAATCCTAAATTGAAGATTTTGATAATTTCAATAATTTTTTATTTGGTCTTTTGCTCGAAATATTAGGTAGTGCTTGATTTAAAGAATAAGTTCCAAAAGATTTTTTTACATTACATAAATAATAATTATTCCAATTTGAAGTCTCGATTTTTTACAATATCTACTTGTCTCATTTTCTTTTTTTTGCTCTCTTCAATTAACAGGTTAGGAAGTGTAGAGAAACCAATCAAAAAAATTCTTAACAAGTTCAGAAAATTATAAAAAACAAGTAAACAAATTGGATTGTTAAAAAACTACCTATTAAATTTAATGCTCTATTTATCTCCCTTTCTGGATAGAAAACTTATTTTACTTTGAAATCTAAATTGAAGGAGGTTCGGTTGCTTCAGTTTGGGTATGAGTTCTTACTTTCGGCACATAATGCAGTGGGATAGAGTGCATTGTCTAGATCAATAATAAAAAAAATTTAATAATTTTTCAACATCATTTATATGTAATTTAATATAAGTTTAGAATATTTTATTGTATCATAGAAATTTACTTTGAATGATGGATTTGAAAACAGTCAAATGTATGTTTCAGTGACGTATAACAGTATTATTCTCTTACTTTCTTGTATACCTGTATGATTCTTGAAAAAAGTTGAAAGTATTTTTTAATTTTTAAACAGTGTACAATTAAAAATAAATGAAAATCTCACATTCATTATTTGAATATTCTATAATAGATTGTAAAAGAATAAAATTTATATTTAAAATAATTATGGCGACGGACCAGTAATATTTCAATCCATTCATGAATTTACGCTGTTTATATAATTTCTAACATTATTGACGATGTAAAATTACATTATAAATAAAATTTCCGAAAGTAAATATTTAATAAATTCCTTACTTGAATCCTAAATTGTGAAAAGAATTCAAATTTCAATTTTTTATACAATTTTCATTTTTTTCTTATATTATAGAACATCCCGCTATTTAAATTGGTATATTATAAATAATATTAATAATAATTAAAAAAAATATTTCCTCAAATTTACAAATGTACTTTAAAAACGTTTGGTCACATATGTAAATTGGTTTTATATGCTATAAGAATGATCTTCAAATAACTGTTATACTGAAGAAAAATATTGTTATCCATTACGAAAAAAATATAATTACCTATTATAGACTACACAGTGCAAACGTACACTGACAATAAGATAAAATAATAATAAACTAATAAGATAAAAGAATATATGGTTGTGTTCACCATTTTCGAGAAGTTAAATTTAAGTTAGTAAAATATGCTGGTGCTAGTAAATTGGTTCGTATTACTATATCTTTATTAGTAAACTTATAGCTACATATTTTCTTATTTGATTTAACCACACTTTTGATGGTCTACCTGTTTAATTAGTTTCTAAATAAATGACTGTAGACTAACTAGTAAATAGTAATAGCAATTAATAAAAATTAACAGTAATATCTTAACTAAGTAAATAATCGTCATGCAACTAATAATTTCTCTTCGTGTAAATGCTCGAAAAACAGTGCTATCCTCTAAAAACCTAACTTTAGGTTAAATTAGTCATTTATTTATGCAAAGTCATCAACCTTTTAAGTTTGATTTCTAACTACTAACATTTATTACACCCTAATGATGAAGTCAGAATTCAAATAACATTAATCAAAGAAATTGAAATTATCTAAGTAATTTAAGAATCTTCTAATTTATCTATACCTTTACATTTCATGGTTGTTCTCAAATAACAAATATAACAGTGCTTTGAAGTTATCTAAATAATAAGAAAACTATAAAGACTTCATAAGAAGAACTTGTTAATAAAAGCTATAAATCTTACAAAAACTAAGAGCCGACTGTTTTTTGATGATGACGATGACACTATTTTTAAAAAATTTCCAAGAGTTTGAAAAAAACACAAAAATTTTGTTTTCTTACAAAAGCCCTATTGGAGACATGTTAAAAAAGCTTCAGAGATGAAATTATTTATTACAATTATTTTATTAAAAAAAAAGCCAACAGCACGCGGTATTCCCAAGCGGTCACCCATCCAAGTACTAACCGCGCCCAAAGATGCTTAACTTCAGTGATCGGACGAGAACTGGTTTTTTCATCGTGGTGTGGCCGTTGCCTGTGAACTCAAGTGTTGTAAAAGTTTCACATTAATACATGAGCAAACTGTCTAGATACTGCTTCTTATAAATAACGTCTTTCTCGTTTTTCACACGTTATAGTGATGTCGATTTTCATACTTCATAGAATCAATTATTTATACAAATTCTCAACTGCACTTAGCACAAACAATATTCGTGAATTTCGAAAACAAGAGCATTACGCATTAAATAATGCCTAGAATGTAGCTATACGTGACTCATTATATTACTTACTGATGGATTGCACTGTAATTCTTTTATCATAAAACTATGTTATTGATGAAAAATTATTCAAACGTAAAAAATATTTGGTGGCCCTGAAAAGGGCCGATTGTTTTTTGGATGATGGTGAGTGAATTTAACCGCCGAAACCGTAAAGGGTGCGGCCTTGACGCTTGAGAGCATAGACGACGTCCATGGCGGTGACGGTCTTCCTCTTGGCGTGTTCGGTGTAAGTGACGGCGTCACGGATCACGTTCTCAAGGAACACTTTCAAGACACCACGGGTCTCTTCGTAAATCAATCCTGAGATACGTTTCACTCCACCTCGACGAGCCAGACGACGAATGGCGGGCTTGGTGATACCTTGGATGTTATCACGCAACACTTTGCGATGGCGCTTTGCTCCTCCTTTTCCCAATCCCTTTCCTCCCTTACCGCGACCAGTCATTTTCACAGAGAATAAGGTTCGTACGTTCAAGCAGAACAGAGAACAAACTCAGAATGATGCTAAATCGGTGAAAGTGCGCTGTTTTATTCCCTCTGGAGTTACACTGCTCCCCTCCACAATCTGACTGACCAATCAGGATGTGAGTGTCCCCTTCCTCTTGACTAACTGGTGCAAGAGCTTTTGAAGGGTATAAATATGTGTGTTTTTGCCGCCTAAAGCATTATTTTCAGTCGTCCTTCGTACTTTGAAGTCGTAAGCAATGGCTCGTACTAAGCAAACCGCGCGCAAATCCACCGGTGGTAAAGCCCCAAGGAAACAACTAGCCACCAAGGCCGCGAGAAAGAGCGCACCTGCAACCGGTGGAGTGAAGAAGCCCCATCGCTACAGGCCCGGAACCGTCGCTCTCCGTGAGATCCGTCGCTACCAGAAGAGCACCGAGCTCCTCATCCGCAAACTGCCCTTCCAACGCTTGGTCCGTGAAATCGCTCAGGACTTCAAGACCGACCTGCGCTTCCAGAGCTCCGCCGTGATGGCCCTCCAGGAGGCCAGCGAGGCCTACCTCGTCGGTCTCTTCGAAGACACCAACTTGTGCGCCATCCACGCCAAGAGAGTCACCATCATGCCAAAGGACATCCAGTTGGCCCGTCGCATCCGAGGAGAACGTGCTTAATTTTTTCCACCACCCAAAACAATCGGCCCTTTTCAGGGCCAACAATTATTTATTCGTTGGAATATGTTTGTTGCTAACATTAAATATAATAATAACATAAAATAAAATAATAACAAACAATTATAATTAACAAATAACAAATTGTAATAAATTATTAAATAACATGAGTAATGGTGAATGTACACGTGCCATCTAATAATGAGTCACCACAAGTGTTCCTATAACAAAGGGTTTCTAAAATGCATAAGTCTCAAATTGAGAAGTGGTGTTCTGCACAAGTCAGTCAATCATTATCTAGTAAAGCGTAACTCGTTAGTAAAATTAAGTAACGTAATGTAATGTAAAACTCGGTTAATATGTAATAAGTGAAACGTTCAATAGTGAAACGGTAAACTAAGTAAATTCACTAGAGTTAAAGTTATTGTATTGTTAAAATTATTACTCGTTAATCTCGAAGGTTAACTAGCGAACTATATTTTACTATTTAAAGTTCTACGATCATTCTATTTTTCTAAATTTGTACTATTTTGTTATTTTGTATTTTTGTTATTTTATTTGTTACTAAAATATACTTTCTTACGAAGGTTTAATTAATGCCTTAATAATGACTACACCTTATTCTAAATCATGGTATAAAACGGTCCTAAAGATAAATATTGTTTTGATAAATTGATAGAATTTAACTAAATCCGGCGAGCAAATCCTATTGGCAAATTTCTAAGTCCAAAAAAAAACTTTTTTTTACATAAAAAAATTAATGTTTATAATGATTTTAAACTATGAAAAACGCGTTTTTAACACAAATGTTTTGACATTTATTTTTGTTTTTGAAATTATAAAAATATTAATTTATGAATATTTATGGTCTATTATTATATTATTAATATTGTTATTATTATTATTAAACTATTTAATTATTTGTTATGGTGTATTAGTGGCAATAAATAATTTATTGAATCATCAAAAGCAAGTCAGCAAGTCACCTACATTAAAGCAATAATTTTCAAGTAGGTCCCGTAGCAATTCCCACGTGCGTCAGATTTTTTTTTTGTCACGATTTAATTAAAAAAAGTAAAAATTGTTAAATAAGAATGCTATTTATCAATAATTGGACTAATTTGTTATTAATAAATAATTAATTTATTAATTTAATTGAAAATAAGGTTGAGGGCATTTTATGAAATCCACGAGGGCACCGCGTGGAAAATCTATATGGAATCCATGAGGATTTTCCTCGAGGGCACCCATGAGGGAAAGCATGTGACGCCTTCGAGGGCTCCGCGTGGATTGCCATTACGGATTCCACATGGCAAGAGGGTAATCCACGAGGGCCCTCACCATTTTTCTGCACGGGTAATAATAAATTAATTAACAATAATAATAATAATAATAATAATAACAATTTTTTTAACATTTTTTCAAAATTTTCATGTCTGATTTAAAAAATTAAAACCGAATTAAATAATTCATATACTAATCTAAAAATTAAAATAAATAAAGAATAATACATTAATTAACAATAATAATAATAATAATAATAACAATTTATAACATTTTTCAAATTTTTTCATTTCTGAACTCTAAAAAAAAATTAAAACCGAATTAAATAATTCATATACTAATTTAAAATTAAAATAATAATAAATTAATAAAAATAATAAGTAATAATAAATATAAATAAATAATAATAATTTGTAATATTTTATAAATTTTTCCATTTCCAATACAAAATTAGGTATATAATTCTGATAATAAAAAATAAAATATAAATAAATAAATAAAATTAATACCTAAATAATAACTACATACTCCTAATAAAGTCAGCTGTAGACGCAAAATTAGGTTAATATACAGAATTTTCATATGTAGAATGGTTATGCTTAATCCAAAAAAAGTATTTTTCGGGGACTCTTGTCAAAGTGCGTAAGGCCAATAGGGCAGGAGTATAAACAATAAAAAAAATAAATAAATAAAATCGGGAAAACCCTAGGGATATAATAATTAGGATCGTAACATTATTTACTGTGACGAAGTGGTTTCGTCATGATATGTTCATTATTTACTTTCTTTTTTATTATTACAATTTCAATTAATAATTATTTGATTTTGGGTTTAGCGCCTTAGTCCTTTTGACTTTAAGGCGTAGAGAGAAATGTAAATTCCCCTTTTTGACAAGTGTATATCGGCGTATCGCGAAAAATGTAGCAGACGACAAAAGCACATTTTTGAGTTAGTTGGATTTGGATGTTGATGAGATAAGACGTACTTATGAGATTTATAAAAAGTATAAGAGTATATTGTACGAAGGAATATTGACGTTGTATGTAGTTGACTTGTGTTATGTGGAGAATTTAATAGTTTGTTAATAAAGGTTTGTTAGAAAAGAAATTGTGTTTTGGTTGTCAAAAGAATAACAAGGAATTATAATCTAGTAATTATTTAGACTTGAGATTTAGTAAGTATAATTTTCTGTTTGACAAGAGTCATGTCTCAAATGACCAAGTTTCCCTTTTTGGTTATTTTCCTGACGGAATCTCCTTTGAGATATTATGGTGAGATTTGTTATTTTTGTTGGTAATTGTTGATTGAGAATAAATTATTGTTTTTGTTAATTTTTAATAATAAAATTAACTGGCGTCTGACTATCACGTTGGCAATAGAAAATGATTTGTGACGAATAAGGGAAAAATGATTTATTAAATTTTGCATAACTTTTAATTTATTATTAAAAGAAACGTCATAAAATTGGCGCCCAACGTGGGGCACATTTGTTGGGAAATTTTTGAGACACGACTAGAAATTATTCTATAATTTTTGACTTGAAATTATTTTTGTGACATGTATTTTTGATTGGACTTGGGAGAGGAGAAGAATTTATATGTATTTCTATATGTGACTTGGGAGAGGAGGAGATTTACATGTAAATTGTTCTTTTTGTTGTATTTGACTTGGGAGAGGAGGAGATAATTGTGTAAAATAAAACATTTTTACACTTGAGAATATTAGTTGACGGCATGGCGAGAGACGCCATAACCTCAATTTGGACATTTTTTTTTGGAAGTTGAATAGTTTGTGTAATTCTTGGACGATTTCAGTAATTTTAATTTTACTAAATTCAGTGAATTTTTCTTGATTTTTCGCAAGTGATAAATAATTTTTGACATTATTATTTAAATAATTAGCCAACACGTGCTTGGTGTTGAATAAAATTATAATAGTCACGTGACATATAGCGCATGCGCATAGTGATAATTTTTCGCATCATTTTTCAAATTCAGTTTCGTTCATAGAAATTGGCGGTCAGTGGAAAATTTCGACTAGGGAAATTATCGCGCATGACAGAAATTAATCACGTAGGCTCGAAAATATCACTTATACAGAAATTGACAAGAGAAATTTGACTTGGGAAAGGAGATGAAAATTTCTGTCGCGAGACTGTGAAAATTTTAAAAGGGACCAGGGCCGTATTAAATGGGAGACGTGCCCCCTTTTTGTTAATAATTAACAAATTTTCAAAATTTTTATCTTTTTTTTTAAGTTTGATGGAAATAAAATTAATTAAACAAATTATTAAATAATTTCAGGACCGTATATAATTTGTGTAGTACCCTAAAAATTAACTTTTGTTACGACGATTGGAAAAATTTAACGAATTTTTCCAAAATAAAATAACCCTAATTTATTTCGACAAAGCGTGACATAATTATTTTTTTTACTTGTTTAAAATTTGTCTAAGAAAATGGCTTTTGCAATTGAGATAATGACTGACTACAAGGAAAGAATGACAAGACTGATAGATAGTCCCGATATTAGAGATATTTGGAATTCTATTGCCAAAATGCCTGTAGGACAAATAGTAACATTGTTACTTTCTCAACAATTGTCAATTTCGGGGACTTTACAAGTTCTTCGAGAAAGATTATTTCGTATTGAATTAAGGAAAATTTTTACAGACGAGATAGATATTCCTTTTTGTGAATTGTATGATTTAGGAAAAACAGACAAAATTTTTCTTCTTGAAGCCTTAATTGCGCCAAAAGAGGAGGAAATTTCCAATGTTTGCCAGACAAGGGGTGGAGGAGAGACAAGTGAGAGTGGTGAGGAGACTACCAATCCCAGGTTAAGAGACATGGGTATTTTGGGAGAAATTGATCAAAATCAAGAATTAATATCAGGGAGGGGAGAGAGGAACTCTTCGTATAGTAGACAAAGTCCGACAAGCGAGTCCTTACCGAGCTCCCCAATGTTGATTCAAACCCCAGTTATGACGACAGCTAGTATCCCTACTACTTCTATTTTGACTACAACCTCCCACACACTATCATTGCCCGTAACTACTACAGTTATGACTGCACCTCAACCTATTGTTTCGGCTACA